AGGGCAAAATTGAATTGGGGCAAAATTGAATTTGGGGGAAAAATTGTACAAAAAACGTATTTCGGAAATACGTTTTATGTTTTATATTTTTTTTGTCCATCAAAATTGTATTTTCAAAATTCTAAAAATTCATTTCATTTAAAATACGTATTGTAAAAATACGTTTTATAACTCGAAAATAATTATAAAATTAATTTTAATTATAACACGTATTTCGAAAATACGTATTAATTTTTTATAAATAAAAACGTATTTACGGTATACGTTTTATATCAAGGTAATTATCTTAATTAATCATATTAACTGAAACCGTATTTCAGGAATACGGTTTATTTTTCAAACGTATTTTTAAAATACGTTTTATAAGTAAAAACGTATTTTCAGAATACGTCCTTTTGATTTTTTTCTACTCCCTTTTTTTTTTATTTTTGTCCAGTTATTTTTGTTTATTTTTAAATAAATAAATAATTCCACACAGGAGATCTTCGCATTATTATATAAAAATAAAAGAAGAATACTCATCAGCTGCCTGCGCCTTTCAATGGCCATAATATGCCATGCCTGCAACTCACTGCCACCTATAAGGCTATAAGCCGTATCCCCGCGTGACACGTGTCCTTTTCTGACGCACCCACACTGCCCTTTTTGAGATTCGTCCTTGGCCCCCCAAAAACCCAACTCTCACCTCAACTGGGATTGTTCCGGTTCACTCTCTTCTCTTGCCAATGCAGCAATGCTATTGCTAAAAATCAAATATTTTCATTTTAATTGAAGAATAAAGGGGGAAAGGGAGAAGATTAGCGTGACCTGTGTTCTTTCGTAGTATGTTGATTCATTTGACGAGCATATCTTTATTTTAAAGGGAAAAATGGCTTGTCTTACACCTGGGACGCTACAAAAGCTGTTGCAAAATGTGGGTAATAAAGACTTCAAGGTGGCCGGCGAACACCGCTCTGCTGTACTACAGGCACTTCTTTTATCTAACCTCTTTGTTGGGCAAATGGCTTTCAATTTATTATTTTTCTGTTGCTAGCTTTCTCGGGTGCTCTCTATTTCTGTTTGTATTTCTTTCTTTGTTGTTTTGTTTCTTCTCTTCTTCGTTCTTGTGATTTAGTTAAATAGCATTTATGTTGACAGTCATGAAATTCTTTTGAAGTTGGACTTCGGTTTTTTCAGCACTCTGACTTTTCCAGCAATTTTACAAAGCAAAAAAATTATCTTTCTTCTTTTTTTTTTTCTTTCTTTCTTTCTTCTCCTTTTCTGTTTGTTCTTTTTTTCGTTTTTCAATTCGGTCATCTTGAATGATTAAAGATGATATTTTGCGAAGGTTATCGGCATTGTGCCCTCACTAGAAGACGATCCATGGAAAAGCAGAGGATACTTTCTCAGGGTTTCAGATTCACTGCACTCCGCTTATGTCACAGTACCCAACGAAAACATAGAACTTATACTAAACGACAAAATTCAACTCGGACAGCTCATCCACGTGGCCAGGCTGGACCCCTCTTCCCCAGTTCCTCTCCTCAACGGCCTCAAACCAATCCCCAATCGACGGCCATGTGCCGGGAACCCAACAGACTTAATCTCCAGCGACTTTTTGACTGCTAAAAAAACAGAGTTGAAATCGAAATCGAAATCTAGAGGAAAGTCGAAAAAAGTAGTGGAATATGTAGATGAGGGTTTAAGGAGGCTTTCTTTGGGGAATGGGCAAGCTGGAGTCGCCCAAAGCCGAAGGTTGAGCTTTGACTCCTCCCGAAAAGGATGGGATGTCAGCCCTCAGTCGGAAAAAGGCCGTCGAGCAGTTAAAAAGGATAAATCGAGAGATCAATACTCAAACTTGGAATCTGTAGTAAGTCCATCTATCTTTTAACTCTATTTGCAAGAAAAAAATAAAAAAATTGATTCTTGCATTATGATTACACATCAGGATTCACAGAGCCTTGTGAGCATGACATCACCTCTGAAGAAGAAAGATGTCATCGTCTCACCAAAGCATGTGCCGAAGCCTACAGTGAGAATCTCCAAACCTTGTGAGAATGTTATTTTCCCTAATGATTGTGATTATAATAAGGTAACAATCAGTCCCGATAACTGGTCAGACTCAATCGTGTTGTGCGATTCACTTCCTTCTGCTGTCTGTCACCTTGGAAAGGTAATGTTACATCCACAATAGTTCTTTGCTATTTTTATCTGCCGATTCTAGTTTACGTATGTGTAAGGATTTTTCAGGAGACAAGAACCTTTAGGAATGCTGCATTTGCATCTGCTGTTCATGCATTAGAAGAAGCTTCTATATACGACAGCGTCCTTCAGTGTATGAGGTGCAGATTTCATTTTGTTTGTTGTTTTTATTTAGAAAATATGTTCATAATCGAAGCATGTGTGTGCAAAAAGTGGATGGAGGTATAATATCATTCTTTTCTTGTTTGTGGGCATCTAATGCGCAACTCAAGTGCAGCATGTGAATCTAATCTGATTATTTGCAATTACGTTTTTTTAAGGCTTGCTTTGGTGTTCTGTCATTATGTATTCAGAATCTCTTGATTTTTAGTTACTGGGGCAACTCTAACACCTCACATGTACTTATTGTGTAGTATGTTTGCAGAACTATGCGAGTCATCTTTGAACAACTCCACCTGCCCATTACTCGAACAATTCTTGAACCTTCACGAGAGGATGACCAAGGCTGCAAAAGTCATTAGTTTCATGCGAAACATAAAAACTTCCAATTCAGACGAAAATAATGACTTTAGTTCTTCTCAACTCTCTGTGCCTGACAAAGATTGCCTCACTCCTTTCCAGAAAGCATCATTATGGGTTCAGGCAGCTCTGCAAACCGATCTTTCAAAATTCTCCCTTTATACTAAAGCTCCTGGAGAAAAGCCTAATTTATTAAATTCTGCAAACTGTTATTATCTCGCGACAGAAAACAACACTACGGACAAAATTGTTGCACGAGAAAAATCCTCACACAATAAATCGAGTAAATCAGCCTTGAAACTGAAAGGGACAGCAAATGCCGAGCAAGTTAAATGGTCAAAAGGGTTGGGATTGAGACATGCGGATGTTTTAGTACAGAAGCTGATTTCATCTTCACGTGCTTGGTTCTTGGACTATTTGGAAAATTTTCTAAGCAATGGATTTGGAGTGAAAAATAAAGACGAAGCTTCGTATGTTGCTGTGCTTGGGCTGCTTAAGAGGGTTAATCGGTGGTTAGATGAGGCTTTTCATGGGGAAAGTAGTTCTGAGGAGAGAATCCAAAGACTGAGAAAGAAGATTTATGGATTTTTACTTGACCATGTCGACTCAGCTGTTAATCGCAGGTAGTTTTTTGTTAACATAATGTTTAGCCTTGACAAGATTTACAGGAATTGAATCTATGACTAGTCTGTGGTTTTAGGTAGTTTGGATTTTGCATTGTGAAGTGAACTTTCTAATTGATTTCATGCTGATGTACTAACTGCACTGTTTATCAACTGTTTTGGTGACTAAATAGAATTTCGTAAATCTGCATGTTAACTAAGATTATCTTACTGAGAACAAGTTTGTTCTATGTAACCATCTTACGGTAGATGCATGTGAGATGAGAAAATTTCTTAATGCATTACTTTCAAACATAAATGTAACGTGTAACAATTTTATTCAATCCCACCAATATATTTCAAACCAAAAAAGGGAATGAAAAAAAAGAAGAAGAAGGTAGTATTGTATTCTGCAAGCTCGATATGATTGTACTAATCAGAATCTATCGAAGTTGTGAAATTTCGGGTTATGGTGGTTGCTTCTTTACATTAGAGGAACGAACAAACATAAAATACTCGAATGGTACTAACAACTAAAATGAGCAAATTAAAAGCCAGACACTTAGCCCATGTTATGTGCTTCACTTGATCTTTATGATGCCTTGTTAACATTTGGAGAAATGGTAGGAGTTTTGGCTATGGCTGTCATTCCCTTGCATGGTTTAAAATGTGCATGAAGTTTCTCTGGCTTGATTGGGTTCCCACATTGCCTGAAAACACACTAAAGATTATCAAAATCAAGAAAAAAATTCATGTATTGGATACGAATTTAGTAAATATTGAAAAATCCTCGTAAATATGCAGCATCATCACTGTCTACTTTTAAAGAATCAATATTATAAATATAATACAGAGTAATATTTGTACTAGAAACGGATCCTCGTAAAATGTTAGTAATCAGGTAAATGCTCGTTGCATTTAATAATCATCTACCATATTTTTTTCTTCAGAAAAACAAACTACTATAATTTGAGCTCACAAATACTTGCATCTTTCATTAGCCAGTAATTTAGAGGGAATACTTACCAGCAGTCAGGCACATTAACATTAACAGGTAAGTAAGTGGCAGATGGTGTTGTCTTGTCTCTCAAGTCACTCTTGCTCTTTAATGAATCCTTAACTCCATCGAAGCTCTTTCTGTCAAAACGAACACTTATTGATAAAAAAATAAAATAAAAAAGGGCATCACTTAAATTCTATTGAATAAGAATAAAAAGTGATAAATTGATGTAACCTTCCACAAGAAAGTAGTTGCTGTTGAGTCCATTTAGGTGTTGTGAGTATCCTCTGAGACCCTCCGAGCTTATCATCTTTGCAAACCACATTTCTGAAATCACTCGAATGCATGTTCAACAAATTGAGCCTATTTTTACTTTTATTATTATTATTATTATTACTATTCTGCTTATTTATGGCCACAACAGCCGAATCATTAGTGTACAAGGGGCCGCAAGTTATCAAGTTACGCAACATATTGGACGACCCATTTGAATTTGAAGTGCTTTTGCTCTTCGATGCTGAAATTTTGGAATTGTCTGAAGAACGTGTTTTTTCACCAGTGTCGACTTTGTTGGCCGTTTTCTTGTTGTTCTTGCTTAAAAGGGCCGAGTAGAAATGCAAAGGACCATCTTTTTTGTTCTTTTCGTCTTTCTTTCCATCTCTACTACTTTTGGACGATGTTATTTTCTCAGTCTTATCGGCTTTTATTGAGTCCTCTGTTACTGTGGATGATTCGGAGCCGAAACTTGGAGATTCTTGCTCGATTTCGCATGACGATTTTGTCGAGATGTACTCTGATGAGTTATGGCTTTGTTCATTTTCTTCTTTCGTAGTTGTGATTTTTGAGTCCTCTTGGAGAAATTGATCCTTATTCACCAACAATTTTTCATCTGTGTTGGATTAGTTTGTGTATGTGAGAGAAGAATAAAATGAAATTTGACTATCGACCAAGACAAAACTTCCTTAAAGAGTTGAAGAAAATTCAAACATTACTCTAAATTAATTGATTTTCATTTTGAAAAAAAATACTTAAAACTGGTATACTGTATCTTTTTATGTTACGGCAGGAAGTTCATAAATACCGATACTTAAATTTTCCTTATTGCTTTATTTGAAATTATTTTATTTCCATTCAAAATGAAAACTTTTGGAAAAAAATCTAGCATTCTATAATTCTCATGGAATAATATAATTATGTCAAATTACCGTAAATTATAAATTATTATATAACATAAAATAATTATATGTGTAATGGAAAGCCAAAATTTATTGGTTCATACTTATTTGTTAAAATTAGTTTTTTTTTTTTTAAATTAATAACTATTAAGCCAATTTTTTATTTTTTTGTAACATGTTAAGGTTTGTATCACTATAATGTATTAGTTTGATATGTAATGAATTAGTGATTAGAAATTTTGGCCATAATCATTTATACAAAAAATTTTGAATTTTTTTTTTTCGAAAATGATATTGGTATAAATAGAGAACCCGACGACATATATATAATGTTATATACAACGAAAATCAATGATAATTAAATTTTTTTAGTATAATTAAATTGACCCTGCACGGGTAAAAGAATATGACTACCTTTAATTATGGTGGATAAAATCTCTGATCCTTTGAGGACGTATTCGTTGTCCGAGATTGGATTAATCAAATCATCATCCACCAAATCTTGCCATACATAACCCGTCTTGTATCTCCTACCACATAATAATAAGAAAAAAAAAAAAGAAAAAAAAGTTCAATATTTTATTTTGTATTATTTAGATCATAAATTAAAATCTTCACCATCTTTTCCTTAAAAATTTACTAAATAGATAAATAAAAATAGACCTCTTGTATGACCAAGAAAACGATTCCGGCATATCCTTCCCCCTCAACTCTCCAAGCCACCTCTTCACATCTGTTCATAATAATTCGACACGTAAGATGCCACGGCCACAATTAACTAAGGACAAAAACTTAAGACATATGCAAATTAGTTAATTTTAATTACCTCTTAGCCGAACACCGTTTGTAGAGGGATGATGAACTCGGACGAGATGTGGATGTTCGATTTTGCCCTTTCTGCTCAGAAAGTATACAATGTGCAGTCTTCTCACTTGTGAACAGCTCTGCCCCTCCATTAAATTAAATCTATACTATCTTCTGCTAAGGAACGAAAAAACATTAAACAAGGCCACACAACACAACAAATTAAAGCAATTAATTGCTTCTTTTTAGGCTGAGAGAAAAGAAATAACAAAATATATCGGAAAAAAAGTAAATTTGATGTTTTCAAGCAAAAAACAGAACAAGAAGAGAAGAATCTCTGTTCTTTGCCGGCATGCACTAAAAGACAGAACAAAGAGGAGGCATGAATAACAACAAATTAATTCATCGTGTTTATAACCAAAAAGTGTAAATTAAACGTGCATGGAATATTGGTGCAGGCCAGGAAAGAGAGAAATTGGTTGTAATGTGCATGTTATACTTTATTGAAAAGAACATCGGATGAAGGGATTTTTTACCTTATAATAATATGATCGATCCCTTTGATTTGCTTTTCTACAGCTCGCACTAAAAAAAAGTAAGTTATATGCATGCCAATTTATTGAGATAATAGAAGAAAATTGGGTTTTTATATGTGAAATTGGATTGGATCTGTAACTATAACAAACTAAAAATAGGGTGAAAAACTTGGTCTACCGCTACAAGTTTTATCTGATTTCGGGGATATTGTTATGTATATTTTGGCAGAGTTTTGACCCCCTCTCTCTCTCTCTCTCTGTCTCAAGTAAACTTTTATAGCCATATAATATGCATGGTTTTATGTCATATCTATACTTATATAATAAGAATTAACATTTATTCAAAATAGTATGTCAAATTATGGTCAATGTCGGATTTGCATTAAATATTTTCCAAAACTGGTAAGTTTTTGTCCTTTTCACACTTCTCATTAATTATGTCATTTTCACACTTCTCATTAATTATGTCATTTTCACACTTACACTTCTCATTAATTATGTCATTTTCACACTTCTCATTAATTATGTCCTTTTCACACATCTAATTAATTCATTAATTACGACATAATTATCATAAATCATTTCATCTGAGCTTTTATCGTTAAAATGTATAGCGATCTATTATGACCTTATCCCATTGATATTTGCATTAAGCGTCCTTATCGTGTTCTATTTTTTGGTAACCACTCTATATCAATAACCGGATATTTAGTTAATGATAGCACACATCTTAATTTCAAGGAGCGGATATTCTTTGACCTTTAATTAATCTGAACTGATTGTCTTGACTTTTCAATTTTTAAAAACTCTTTTTTTAAATATTTCGGCTTAAGATTCGGATTTTATTATACAAGTTATCGGATTGTTTAAATGAAAATGAATGAAAAGAACACCAAAAACAGGTAGCCTTATTCATATAACCAATCCTAAAATATTAGTTTGTTCACAAAAAGAGACAAATCCTAGAAATCCTAAAATATTAGTTTGTTCACCAATCTTAAAATATTAGTTTGTTCACCAAAAATATTAGTTTGATTTTTAGGATTTGTCTCTTTTGAAAATATTAGTTTGTGATAATGAGGAGTTACCAAATAATCAAATTCATAATGTTGTGTACAAGGAGGTTTTTAATAATATATGATTGTTACCGAATTTTTTTATGATTCAACAATGTTCCTATGTATTTTAATGATTTCAATTCCGATCCTAATGCACGTTAGGTTATATTATTCTTTGAAATTTTACATCCCGTGCATCGCACGGGTTACGTACTAGTATATACTTAACAAGGAGTATATTATTTTGCATATTAAGATGGTAACTATTAAGAGGATGCGGGGGATAGATATATGTGTACCTTGTATGAATTTCTTACGTCCTTCTTATGGTAAAAATGCATTTTTATTAATTTTGCTATCACATGATAATTAAACATGAGATTCTTTCTTTAATTTTGTGTTACATTAGAGATAACATCCCAAATAATATTCTAAACAACTTAACATAAAAAAAACATTAATAATTATTCAGTTTATTTATTTATTTTCAATCAAAATATAGTGCCTATCAAAGTTAGTTAAATCAAATAACTTGATGGCCAATAAAGAAAACAAGGTAAATTATTCTTTCAAGTAATTTTGAGTTATTATTGTGTATTTCATTTATTAATTACCTAATTCAGTTTGAATTTTGAGATAGAAAACTCTTATGTTAAAACTAATACTTGGCCGTGAGATACACGAGGCAATAATAATAAATCGTATTAAGTAAAAGTATTTTGTTTATATAGGCAAAATAAACCTAATTTATAAGTTTAATGGGATACTCATTCTTCCACCAATTGGTTTTGGGATAGAATCTCACTTGAGCTTCATCTAGGCTTTCCCTGCTTATGGTGCACCCGTTTTCTCCCTAGTTTCTTACAAAAAGAATGAATGAATATTGTTAGTATAAAATAATTTTGAATATTAATATTAACTTTTAGTTTTTTTCAATCTATGTATATATATAAACTAATATTTGACATTTACTTAAAATAAGTATGTATAATTTTTTCACTAATCACTTTTAATTACTAAAAAAGAAAAATTTTGTATAAATTTTTTATTTTTTTTCCTTTTTAGCAGTGTAGATTTTCATTAAAATAGTCTTTCTTTAAAAGCATAAGAAAAATTAATTTTCTTCTAATTATAATGATTATTCAAGATTACTCAAATTGAATTACAAATAATTATTTAACAATATATAAAATATTAGGCTTAATTGTCTATAAAACCACAACCTTTTGTACAATTGTAAATAAAACTCAACTTTTTTAGCTTTGCAAATTCTTTTATTATGTGTTGAAAATTTGTCTCAAATCAATTTTCCGACCAAGTCGAGCTAACGTGTCTGATCAGAAATCTTACATGGCACTGATAAACTTGCGTGGAAGGCCAATTTTTCCACACCATCCTCCATGTAGAAATAAAACTAACAATAAAATAAATATCCTAATTCTCCCACAATAACCCTAAACTTTTTTTTTTGGCAGAATCCATCAAATCTATCTGCAGAATCCAAATAACACCATCCTCAATTGTAGTTATGAGATTATATGTAATGATTTGAACTTAATTTTTGCTTGAGCATTGACTGCCTTTATTTATGAATTGAAGTAGCTTTCATTTTTTATTTGGAAATATATAATTATTAATGATTTTTCTTTATCTTTTTTTGCAGACAAAATTTACTATTAAAGGAGGTGGAATATTTACTTTTTTAAGTTGCATTTATTAGATTTAATGTAATGTATAATTTGATATGTATTTTATTTTTTCTGAAATATTTATTAATTATTTAAGAATTCAAAATATGTTTTTTATTTTCCAAGATAAGTTAAATTTAAATGTAACAGAAAATTAAAATCTAATCACATTATGTCGTTATGTCATTAATCAAAAGTTATAATGATTTTTCTAATTTAAAAGTGACTAGTGTGTTGATTATGAAAGGTTAAATAAAAGTTAAAAGGATTTTTATAATTTTGAAGTGTTTAGTGTGATGATTATGAAAAATTAAATAAATCAAAGTAATGGGATTTTTGGAGAAAAAGTATTTTAGTGCCCCTTAAATAAAATTAAATAAGTTTTATTTATTAGGTAAAATTTATTGTTAACTTAGCAATTATATATATATATAGACTTGTAAGGTTCACGTGCTTATGAACGTGAACCATATTACTTTATTGAAGAAAATTATAAGTATATTTTGATTTATAGTATTTTATTATTGTCTCCCATGGTGTGATTGGAAAAGTATTGAGGTAAATATTCTCAATTCATCTGAAGCTACAAAAGCGATTCTTGAGATGTCAAGTAAAACAAAACATTGCAAGATACAAGAAAAATGCATTATCTTATTTTCTCAAAAGGTGTAATCATATGACATGTGATAACTACTTATAACAAAATTTCATAATTGAAAGGTAAAAACTATATTATTTAAAGATCATGCAAACAATGTAGTCATACTCAACATCCTTTTAAAATTTTATATAAGTTATGGATATGATTTTTTTATTTGTCATGTTGATACATCTTAATACCAAACCTAATACTAATGTTTTGACATGTTGATACGTCTTAATTTTGACGTGTTGGTACATGTAAGTTTTATCTAGTGTCCTTCACAATCAATGGAACTTTTTTAAATTTTTTTACTGTATATTATATATGTTATACAAACACACATATATATTATAAAATCATGTGTTTATGACATATAAGTCTACAGAAATCATGAGCGAACAAATTTAATGTATATTATATATGTTTTACAAATAGACATATATTATAAATGCGTTCATGACATATAAGTCTGCAGAAATGAGTGAACAAATTGAAGACACCATTGTTTTTGTAGGAGTCTCATCGTGAGGTTTGCTTGGTGTGTGTGAGATAGTGTAATACAATCATATATTAATTTGTGAGTTATCTTACATCGTTCATACATGGAAAATAGACACACTTTATAAGTCTAATGAACTATTTCTCCTTCCACCAATTAGTTTTGGGATGGAACCCCAGCTTCATATGTGCTTTCCCTGTTCATGGTGCGCTTCATGATATTGGGCCCGCACCCTTTTTCCTCCAGTTTTTGTCGTGGTATCAGAGTCGGTTCTATTGGTGACCGTGCGATGACGTACCTGTCACCCAACCAGTTGGACTTCGGCTTTCGAAGAACTCACAAGTGAGGGAGCGTATTAGAATATCACTTGTGAGTTGTCCTACATCGTTCATATATGGAAAATAGACCCACTTTATAAATCTAATGGGCTACTCCTCATTTCATAAATTGGTTTTGGGATGGAACCCCATTTGGTACTCATATGGGCTTTCCCCGTTCATGGTGCGCTTTATGATAGTGGGTCCGCACCCGTTTTCTCCCAGTTTCTGTCATACTCAAAGAGTGTGATATGGCGATATAATA